GCTGGCTTTGAACTGTTATCTTAGAGATCTCATCCTCCTGAGCAGCTGTGATTACAAGCATGAGCTACCAGCACCAAGCCAGCTCTTTAATATTTGGCAAAATATCAAAGTATTTAATTTGAAGCAAATGACTGCTTTCTTAAAATCTTAAAATTTCTGTTTTTCCTGTTTTATTTATAATTAACATTCAGAAGTGGGCAAAAATGGAATATTTTTCTTGATTATCTACCTGTGCTCAGTCAGCATTTTTTTCTTTCATATGTTTTTTTTAGAACAATTATTCTATAGTCTACTCTGGATCTTCGCGTTTTTCTTGTTGTTAATTGTTATACCTAGGATCTAGAACAGTACATGGCTCATAGTAGGTCTCAAATATTTGTTTAATGAGAGAATAAAGGAGTGATTGTTCTGATCTGGGCAACTTCAGTGTGCTTTTTACTTTTTGGCTTACTCGCCACATGTATTGTGAAAGTTAGGGCTCATGCTCTAGACTCTAATATAGTATGCTATTATTTACAGTTACAACCATGCTTTTGTGTGTGAAAGAGGGAAAGAACTTAGAAATGAAGAGCTCAGTGTAGTCCAGAAATGGCAACTGTTCAGACAGAGTAGACCAATGGTTTGCCTGGAATGGGGTTAGAGGTAAGAACAGAGAAGGACTGTAAATAGGCAAGAGAGATATTTTTTGAAGGAAATGTTCTGAAATTAGATTGTGGTGACCATTATACACAGGTTTTTAAAAAAATCATTGAATTGTTAACATGAATGCATTTTATAGACTATAAATTATATCTCAGTAGAAACAAAGCCATGGTTTTATTTTAAAGTAAAGTTTCAGCCTGAAACTGGTGGCTTATCCTGCTATCTCAGCTACTCAGAAGGCTGAGATCTGAAGATTGCAGTTCAAAACTAGCCCAAACAGGAAAATCCTTGAGACTCTATATCTCCAATAACCCACCAAAAAGCCCGAGATGGGGGCTGGGAAGGTGGCTCAGTGGTAGAGTGCTTGCCTTGCAGGCATGAGGCCCTGGGTTCGATTCCTCAGCACCACATAAGCAAAAAGAAAAAAAAAGCTGGAAGTGGCGCTGTGGCTCATGTGGTAGAGCACTAGCCTTGAGCTGAAGAGCTAAGAGACAGCGCCCAGGCCCAGAGTTCAGACCCTATGACTGACAAAAAAGAAAAAAAGAGCTGTGGTTCTAGTGGTAGAGTGCTTTCTAGCCTTCAGCAAAAAAAAAAGCTTAGGGACAGCACCCATGCCCTAGGAGTAGTGCATGCACACACGCACACACACACACACACACACACACACGAATTATTAAACCTTTTGCTAATCAGAAAACTAGATTGGTGAATTTATTTCCCACTTTGGATATAACTTGTTGCTATAGACAAATGGCCAGTTTACTTAAAATGAGTTTTTCTATAAAGTGATTTATACAAAAAATTTTATGTTCACACGTGTACTTCTGTTATGAACTTGGAGCACATAAGGTTCTTAATATAAAATATCTAATTTCTTTGCCCTTTTTATGTACTGTTTGGATTATTTCTAAAGCCATGAAAAGGAACAGGTATAAACTGTTCTATATTGGTGATAGTTTGCCTTCATTGGATTGTAAGGTTAGAACACTCAGTTTGTTTCCTTCCCTCCTTCCCTCCCTCCTTACCTCCTTCCCTTCCTCCCTTCCTTCTTTCCATCCTTCCTTCCTTCCTTCCTTCCTTCCTTCCTTTCTCTTTCTTTCTTTTCTTTTCTTTCTCTCTCTTTCTCTCTCCCTTCTTCCCCTTCTTTTTTTTTCTTTTTTGCTTGAACTCAAGGCCTGGTCACTGTCCCTGAGCCTCTGTATGTTCAAGGCTAGTGCTCCACTACTTGAACCCCAGTGCCACTTCTGGCTTTATCTGTTTATGTGGTACTGAGAAATCAAACCCAGGGCTTCATGCATGCTAAGCAAGCACTCTCCACTAAGCTACCTTCCCATCCCCTTTCATTTTTAGGTGACTGGATCACATTGTTTTCATTAAAAATATTTTTTTTTATTGTGAAAATACCATACAGAGGGGTTACGATTACATGGGCCAGGTAATGAATAAATTTCTTATCAAGCATTGTTGCCTCCTCCTTTGTTTCCCCTTCCCATCCCTTCCTACCTCCCTGCGGGCCCCCCCGCCCCCCGCCAAAGTTGCAAAGTTCGTTTTTTGACATAATGTCTTGTACATCTCATTACTGCAGTGGGTCCACCTATATCCCTATTTAAACAATCTGTTTTTTTCCCTTCCCCTCCACAAATTATACCAACATCAAATACAGTGAAAACAGGGGTTATACCGTGGGGGAGGGACATACAAAGCAACAAAGAAATATCTTATAAATATGTTAGAAACAATAATAGCAAGAAAGAAAAACATTGGAGTCCTTGGGGTTCATTTCGCCTAACATCAACTTATCTGTTAATGGTACATAGAGATATAAAATTTTTACATAGTTATGTGCTATCTGATATTTCAATACAAGTATACATTGCAAAGTGTATTAGGTTAAATATATTCTCAAACACTTTGTCATTCCTTTATGATAATATCATTCAGAATCATTCTAGCATGTTGAAATACACAGTTGATCTCATGGAAGAGTATAGACTGGTTACCCGTCTACCTGCTGGGGCAAGATTGATCAAAATAATCTGTAGTTAAGAGTAAGAAGTTCTGCTGTGCTGTTGCATTGTTGGGTAACTAGGTAATAATAATATTTTGGTGGTGTTTTTTAGAGCAAATTATTTATGGACTATGACCCTCCCCATTGTATTATCCTCATCTCTATTTTTTAATTTTTATTTTGGTTAGGAAATTAACTTTATTTTTAAATTACTTGTAGGGAGAAAATGTTTTTCCCCAAACTAGTATTACCATTCAAATTTGTGTATGCCTCTTCCAAGGGAGTCTAGCACCTTTTATAATTTTGATTATGTCTTATATAACTTATACAAGTTTTACCATAAGTGTAATAAAGACCAAGTAGCCTGAAGATATAATTAAGTTTATTCGCATCATTTAGCTTCCAATTCTGACAGTATTAGGCATTGACAAAGACCTGACAGCCTTGAGACATTATAATTAAAAGCTATTTGGGACTTAAGAGCTAATTGAGGTGACTAGATTTTACATTCGTTGTACCATTCACTTATTTTGTGGCTTCCAACTAGGTAATGATGGTACAGTTGAAATGTGTAGTGTTTGTTTTATATGGTCACTGTTGTAAAGGATTTTGTTAATAGTAACTCAGTTTTCACAGTCGTACTATGAAGTAGGTATTCTCATCCATACTTTCAAAATAAGAAAAGTCACATAAATTTAAGTATTTTATGGAAGGTCTTACCAGACAGCTTGAGATAGACAATATTCAAAATCCCTGTGGTATAATGGTGGGGTAGGTTTCCTGTTTTTTCCAAAAGAAAAAAATGTTCATATTGTAAGAATTTTAAAAAATTAGCATAAAGTCAGAAAGGAGAATCTCATTTCTTTTCTTTGTTTCTCACACACACACACACACACATGCACACGCACATGCACACAGGCAGTCAGTGTAATGGTCCATCAGTTGACCTAGTCTAAGAACTAATCTGAGTTTTCATAGAGCACTTGGATGATAATTGAGTATTCTTTGAATTTAGCCACAGGTTTTTTTTAATTAGTTTTCTTTTTTTTTTAATTTAATTTAATTTTATTTGTGAACATACTGTACAGAGGGGTTACAATTACATGGGCAGGATAATGCGTACATTTCTTATCAAGCATTGCAGCCTCCTCCTTTGTTTACCCTTCACATCCCTTCCCAGCCTCCTCCCCTCCCCCCCAATCCCAATCCTTCTTCTTCCCCCTTCCCCCCCCCCCCCCCCCCCGCACCGACATTGTAAAGCTCGTTTTGGACATGACAACTTGTACTTCTCATTGTTGCAACAGGTCCACCTGTATCCTTAAACAACTGGTTTTTCCCCATCTCCTCCACAAGTTATACTGACATCAAATATAGTGAAAGCAGGGGTTATACTGTGGGGGAGGGACATACAAAGCAACAAAGAGATAATCTTATAAATGCGTTAGAAACACATGCATGAAAAAAAACATTAAAATACATATCTAAGGGTTCATTTTCCTGACATCACATTATCTGACCTTTTCCGCTTGATTCATACATCTACTAGCTATTACAAATAAGGGAAACCATGGGACCTATGTTTCTTTGGGCCTGGCTTACTTCACTTAATATAATTTTTTCCAAGTTTTTCCATTTCCTAACAAATGTGGCAATGTCATTCTTTCTGATGGAGGCATAGAATTCCATTGTGTATATATACCACATTTTCTTGATCCATTCATCTACTGAGGGGCATATTAGTTTTCTTTTAATATGTCTTAAATTTCATTAGTTGTCTGTTTGGACTGGTTAACACTACTGTGGAAATCTTTAAGCTTTGTACAATGTATTTTGTGCTTTCTTGGCTTGCTTGTTTGGCTGGCACTCTACCTCTTGGGGCATACCTCCAGCCCTGTTTTTTTCTAGTTATTTTGGAGACAACTTAGTCTCATGGACTCTTCTGCCCAGGTTAGCAGAAACCACAGACTAGCTTCAAACCACGGTCTCCAGATTGCAACTTCCTGAGTAGCTAGGATTATAGATATGAGCCACTGCCACCAGCTCTCCACCTTTTGAGAAATTTTTATTATCCTTACTGTATGACTTCTAATTTCACATATAAGAATGGTATGGTTGGTGATTAACTGAGGTTTACAAGTATCAATTTAAATAAGCCAAAATATTGGAATGATCTCTGCTGAATTAAGTTCATGATCTTACAAATTTTAATTGATAAAGAAACCAAAGAGGTTTAAAGTTTGAATAAGTTTATTAAACGATCTGTTAGCTTTTCATGGTATGGGTATGTTTTGGGGAGAAGATTTAACATATTGTTATTAAATCATTTCTTCTTTTTATTTTTATTTTAAAGGATTTTGGCCCCCAACAGTAATTGTCAAGATGTTGAGACCCTCTATAACTTCCTAATCAAGTATGAGGTATGAGAAGTATTTTCAGGTATTTGTACTTTTATCATAGAAAAACAAGTTTAATATAAGTAACTATAGGAGTAAAAGCATAGAAAAACATTTGTTATTTACTTTAAATTTTAATTTCTTTTTTATTTGAGACAAGGTTGCTATGTATCTCAGGGAGACCTCCAGCTAATCATTCAACTTCCTCAGCTTCTCAAGTGCCAGGATTGCAAACGTGTCTCCATGTCTAACTTAAATTCTTGAATGCCATTGAAATTTGCTAGTGCCCTATTCTTTTTAATAGGATATAAAGTATACAAGATGATATTTTTATATTCATGGTGAAATTGTTTCTATAGTCAATTAAATTAACATGTTCATCCTCTCAGCAAGCAGCTTTTTTAAAAATGTGCCAACAGCACCTAAAATCTACTCTTCTAGTGAAATTCCTAAATACAGTGTTGTTAACCTCACCTTCTACACTAGTTCTCCAGACCTTGTTATCCTGTATATATACAACTTTCTATCATTTGACCCATGGCTTCCTGACTCCTCCCAGCCTATTCCCACCAGTTGACATAGCCAGTTTATTTTGTTGTCTAGAATGGCCCATTTGTTTCAGACAGAATTGTTTAGATTTGGATTTATTGGCATTTTGGACAGGTTATTTCTTCATTGTATTCCACACATCATCATTGCTGATCCATGGAAGGTAATCTGCTGATTATTCATTTCAGTTTGCCTAAAGCCCTCTGATGTTCCGTGTTCATTTTTCTGTTGTGTGTATATGTATATTTAATTTTCAAACATTTCAGGTGAAGGAGCAATATATTAGGTCTTATTTCTTATGGAGTCAAACATACTCCTTTCTTTTTTTTTTTGGTCAGTTGGGCTTGGACTCTGGGTCTGGGTGCTGTCCCTCAACTCTTCAGCTCAAGTTGAGCCCTTTTTCACTTAAGCCAAAGCACCACTTCCAGTTTTCTGGTGGTTAATTGGAGATAAGAGTCTCGTGGACTGCCCTGCCCAGGCTGGCTTTGAACCGTGATCTTCAGATTGAGCCTCCTGAGTAGCTAGGATTACAGGCGTGGGCCACCTTCGCCAGGCAAACTATTGGTTTTTGTTCCAAACTCCTGGACTAAACCAGAAAAGCTTCTGAACTGGCACCTGGCTCTGGCTAGCTCTTTACTTAACCTTTTCTTTGCCACATCATCTATTTATTAAGAACCTACATAATAAGTAAGAACCCAGGATCTGAGACCACACTCCTTGTGTTGGCTCTTTCAGTTACTAACTGTATGTCCTTATCCTAGTTTCTTCACCTTTTAAATGGGAATGACAGCATACAAATTATATGTATTCTAGAATGACAAAAGAACCTCTAAAGTTCTCTAAACAGCATAGAACCAGGCACAGAGGAAGTCTGCAGCTGTAACCTATTCTTATTTAAGTAAAAAAATGGTTTTACATGTGTGCTTAAAAAAATCAGTTTAACGTCTCTAACCATATTATATGGTCATTGAAAGGATTTCCTTATTTGAATTGAAACATGTTTCATCATACTTTCAGAAACTTAACATTAAATCTAATGACAGTGATACATGGTTGTGAAAACAGAAGGATAGTTTAAACATATAGCCTGTATATTTCTAAGATATCGCTCTTTTTTGGGTACATGACTTCATATTTGTAAGAATATTGAAAATGGCTGGGCGCTGGTGGCTCACGCCTATAATCCTAGCTACTCAGGAGGCTGAGATCTGAGGATCGCGGTTCAAAGCCAGCCCAGGCAGGAGAGACCGTGAGACTCCTATCTCCAATAAACCACCAGAAAACCGGAAGTGGCTCTGTAGCTCAAGTGGTAGAGCGCTCGCCTTGAGCTGAAGAGCTGAGGAACAGCACCCAGGCCCAGAGTTCAAGCCCCATGACGGACAAAAAAAAAGAATATTGAAAATGCTTGACTTGCCAGGCGCTGGTGGCTCACGCTTGTAATCCTCGCTACTCATGAGGCTGAGATCTGAGGATCGCAGTTCAAAGCCAGCCCGGGCAGGAGAGACTGTGAGACTCCTATCTCCAATAAAACTACCAGAAAACCGGAAGTGGCTCTGCAACTCAAGTGGTAGAGCGCTCGCCTTGAGCTGAAGAGCTGAAGGACAGTGCCCAGGCCCAGAGTTCAAGCCCCACAACCGACCAAAAAAGAAAAGAAAATGCTTGACTTAATGTGTATTTATAAGAATATGTGGATTTGATTCTCAGATGTTTGAAATAATTTCCCTTAGAATTTCTTCCCTATATCAGTTATTACACTGTCTTATGATATGAATAAGGATGGGGCCACCCATCTTTTTTTTCCCCCTAGTCCTGGGACTTGAACTCTGGGCCTGGGCTCTGTCCCTGAGCTCCTTTGCTCAAAGCTAGCACTAAAACTATTTGAGCCGCAGCACCATTTCCAACTTATTCTGTGATTAATTTGAGATAAGAGTTTTCCAGACTTTCCTGCCCAGGCAGGCTTTGAACCATGATCAGCAGATCTCAGCCTCCTGAATAGCTAGGATTACAGGTGTGAGCCAGTAGCACCTGTCTAAGTCTTGAATTTTTAAGAGCTAAAACTTATCAAGTCATTTCTTCTATTTGGCTTTAATTTTAAGTAGTACAACTAAAAAAAAAAAAAAAGCAATGATGCCCAGTAATATTATCCTACTTTATAGGTATACTCTAATGATAGCTATTGGTTTCTTGGAAAATTGTTTGTGGAGTAATAATATTTAACATTATAATTTAAAATAGCTCAATATGAGTAAGTAAAATTCTCTTAATATCCAAAATTAATGAATATGATTAAACAAAATATTCAGACTACATCTTTGTGAATTTATGCTCCAGTTTCTTTATTAGTAAACTACCTTACTTTTCTACTATAATGGAGCTATTATCACGTTTATATTCCCTGTGTTCTGGAAGGTCCATATATGTGGATGGTTGCTTTTAAAACTAAAGATAAGTCTGGATAATACTGAATAAGGAACTACTTTGTATTCTTATATCAGGTTCCAAATCAGTTTGTTGTTCAATTAGGCAAGAGGTAAAAATAAGAAGGATCATGGTTCAAAACCTGGGCAAAAATATTTGCCAAGACCCTATTTCCACAACAAGCCAAATGTCTTGTTCACACCTGTAATATCAGCATTCAGAAGACTAAGGCAGGAGGGTGAGTTCTGTGTCAGCCTGGTTGATATAGTGAGACCCTGTCATACTGTCACAAAACCAAAACAACAAAAGTGTCCATAGAGTTGGGTTATTGATAAATGGAAGAGCACTTGCTTACCCTACTAGAGACCTTGAGTTTGATCTCCAGAATAATGGAAAAGAAGGAAAAAAGAAGTAGAAAAGGAGGAGGAAAGAAGAGCTATGTACTAGTCAAAGTTTTAAGTAAATTAGATAGAGCTTTCCATAGTTTATAATCTTTGGATCTTTTTCTGTCCATTTGATTTCGGTGTGATCACCTGCTTGTTGAGATCCCCACTAAATCTAGGCCTGTTTCATGTGTAAGGTATAATAGTAGGACTAACATTTTTATATGTAGTTCTCTGTTATCTCTGTTCCCTTGTTATCACTGTTTAAGTCCTTTTTAAAGCAGTAACTAGGAACTTGAGATCTGGCTCACTCTGAATACAGGCCATTCTAACTTTACTCATTGCTCATTTTGTTTAATGTATCATCCTAATAACTATATTTTGGTTCTTTTCAGGTAAATAAAAATGTCAAATTTACTGCCCAGGAACTTTATGATTGTGTTTCTCAGACAGAGTATCGGTAAGTCTTACTTGTATGTAGATGTATCATTGTAACAGGCTTTTAGCATACTCAGCACCACTGAGAATTTTAGCTGGGAGAGTACTATACTCTTCTAGCTATTTGGGAGGCTGAGGCAGGATTGAAAATTTGAGGTTAACCAGGGCAACTTGGTAAGATCTTGTCTCAAAAACTAATAAAATTAGAGTAGGAATAAGGTGGGTAGCTCAGTGGTATAGCACTTGCCAGTGTGCGTGAGATCCTTGGCTCAGTACCCACTACTCAAAAAATGTTTCTTGGGGCTGGGAAGGTGGCTCAGTGGTAGAGTGCATGCCTTGCATGCATGAGGCCCTGGGTTTGATTCCTCAGCACCACCTAAGCAGAAAAAGCCAGAAGTGGCACTGTGGCTCAAATGGTAGAGCGCTAGCCTTGAGCTGAAGAGCTGAGGGACAGCACCAGGCCCCACAACCAGAAAAAAAAATGTTTCTCAACTCATTTTTATATGTCACTGATTACTCTATGTATGTTAAGCAACATTATAATGAAACTATTTCCCCAAGTAAAAAATGTTGCTGATAAAGTGGCACTGCTGTACAGTTTTGCAAATCTTATAAGACAACTGAATTCTCATAACTGTTTTGGTATTCAGTCTGTTCACATATTAATGGAAACTATACTTTTGAGAGAACAAAAGTCAAAAGTGAAATGAGGGCTTGGTGCTTGCTAGATATGCACTATCACTTGAGCTATACTCAGAGCTCTTTTTTCTTTTCTTTTTTTTTTTTTTGATAGTTTTATATTTTTGCCTAGAGACTGAGACAGGTTCGCCCACCTACAGCCTAAGGTAGTGTGAATCTCCACACTTGGCTTATAGATTGAGATAGGATCAAAGTAGTGTGAACCTCCACACTTGGCTTATAGATTGAGATAGGATCTTGATAACTTTTTACCTGGGCTGACCTTGAGCCTTAATCTTCCTGATCTCCATCTCTCAAGTAACTGGCATGATAGTTATAAGGTAATGCTTTGGTCTTATGATAATAGCTATGACCTTGCAGATCCTCTAGAAGAGTCCTAAGTTCTTGAGATCCCTAGGCCATGTTCTGAAGATCAAGTAGTCTAAAGAATACCCTTGCTGAGCTGGGAAGGTGGCTCAGTGGTAGAGTTGCCTTACATGCATGAGGCTGTGGGTAGATTCCTCAGCACCACATAAGCAGAAAAAGCCAGAAATGGTGCTGTGGCTCAAGTGGTAGAGTGCTAGCCTTGAGCTGAAGAGCTGAGGGACAGTGCCCAGGCTGAGTTCAGGCCTCATGACCTACCTCCCCCCCCCCAAAAAAAAAAATATATATATCCTTGCTTAACTAGTATATGTCTAAGATAATCTTACCAGACAAACAGAAAAGGACAAAAGCTATGTACATATGAGCATATAAGAGGATGCTAAGTGAAATGCACCCCAAGATATGGACACAAGAGGTGTTTTCTTTGTTGCTGTTGTTTTTAATGTACTATGTGATTTTTTTTTTTTTTGCATGTTCTTCCCCTTACGGTATAACCCCTGTTGTCACTGTATTTGATTCTGGTACCCTGCATCTTTTTTTTTTTTTTGTCGGCCATGAGGCTTGAACTCTGGGCCTGGGTGCTATCAGCTCTTCAGCTCAAGGCGAGCTTGTTACCACTTGAGCCACAGCGCCACTCTGGTTTTCCAAGTAGTTTATTGCAGGTAAGAGTCTCTTGGACTTTCCTGCCCAGGCTGGCTTTGGATCGTGATCCTCAGATCTCAGCCTCCTGAGTAGCTAGGATTACAGGTATGAGCTTGTAGAGGTGGTCATTGAAAAAGTTTGAGCTTGAGAATTACCTGGGTTTGACTATAGATCTGTAACACTGAAGTGAGTGAATGTCTCTTAACATATATGAAGAGCTGTAATGGGTTTGAGGTGTGTTTTATGTTTCCTAAGTTTAGCTGGGAGCAGTTTTCTCTATTCACTTATTGTTTTTCCTTACCAAGTGGGAAAGTTGCATTGTGTTCAAATTTTATCAGTAGTGTTGGAATAAATTCTTATGTTGAAATCAAGCACTATGGCAGAATGGACTACATTTCTACTGGATTGTGTCACTAATCCATATAGTTCAATTGCTACATGCAACTTAGGATGTTCTATGAGCCAACCTAGTGACAGTTTTCAAAATACTTCTGTGTCCAAACTCTACATTGGTGAATTTGATAGTAAGACTTTTATTAATCATGTATACACAATAGACAAAATAATAGATAATAGACAAAAGTTACAAAAAGTTTTAAAGATTTACTCAGTCATGATTTAATGTTTTCCAAGAAAATTTTGAGTACATAAATACACAAGTGCATTGTATTTGGAGGAGGGAATGGCTTCTTGCTCAGATCTTCAGACTTTCAATGAATCAGTTTTAGTCTTGTATATCTTTATACATAATCTACAATTAAAAGATTGTGCAATATTCGTATAAAATGCAAGGCTTTATAAGTTTAGGCAAAATTTTGAAAGTTTAAAATGCTCTCTGTAGTTAGTTCATGAAGGCCATAGCCTCTTCAAAGATGGCTTCAATTAGATTGAAGAATTCTTATATTGAAGAATTATTTTGACCTCAGCTTACTTTTGGAATAGTTGGGAGAGTTTTGGAGGATCAGGTTGAATGTTCAAAGTGAAAATAGTTGACTCTGGCAATCAGAGCATGGTAGTATCTTTAAGAGGTTATGAGAGCTATGACTGTCTTATGTGGCCCTACACCAGAGTATGTCCTCTTTAGTGTTGGTCCTTTACCCTTAGCATCCTTTGGCTGACTCAAGGTACAGCCCACCCTGCTGTCCAAAATCTCTAGAATATTAGGCAGCATATCACCAACCTACAAAAACAAAATCTAAATCTAAAATTCAAAGTACATTTTCTATCAAAGAGATAGTGCTCTCAAGCCATCATAAAGTTGAAAAATTGTAATTCAGATACCATTTGTTGATGGTGTGAGGTAAGGGGCCGACTTCATGAATTCATCTGATGTCCATCAGGCTGTCTTGCACTATTTTCCAGAGGAGCCTATTTTTCTATTGAATAGTATTGGCATCCTTCTTGATTTATGTGAGAGCTTACTTCTGGACTTTGAATTCTATTCCTTTTTTATTTTGCTCAAGACTAGCACTCTATCACTTGAGTCATAGCTCCATTTCCGGCTTTTTGGTAGTTAATTGGAGATAATTGTCTCACAGAATTCCTATCCAGGCTGACTTTGAACTATGATCCTCAGATCTTAGCCTCCTGAGAAGCTAGGATTATAGGCGTGAGCCATTGACATTGTTACTCCATTTCTTTAAATATGCCTGTCTCTGTGCCAGTAGCAAAGTTGTTGATAACAGTTGATTTTGTTGTAAGTTTTGAAATTGGAAAGTGTAATTCCTCAACGACTGTTTTTTTCCTTTTCAGAATTTGGAGAGCCTTGTAATTCTAGATGAATATTAGAATTAGCTTTTTCATTTCTACAAAAATACATTGTTTGGGAGTTTGATAGGAATTGCATTGATATTGTAGATTGCCTTGGGGAGTATGAAAACACTCCTGAGGCTTCCAGTCGGTGGGATTCTGATCCACTTATTTAGTTCTTTTATTCCTTTCACCAGTGTTCTTGGTGCCTCTTTGTTCTGATTGACTTCTTGTTTTCCTTTGCACCTACATCAAGGGATCTGACATGTGCAGGCAAAGTGGGAGAGGCAGCTGGTAGTCTTCTCCAATACCTTGGAGATAGCTTCCAGTTGTCCACGGTCACAATGCAGTCTGAGTAGTAATAAAAATAACTACCATTCCTACTGCTGAATGTTCTACATATCTCAGGAAACTTGTTTAAGTTAAAATACAATGGAATGGTATCCCACAATGTAAGATCTTATAATTTCTAAGCCCCCATTAACTTAAAAAAAATGTGATGTAGGTGTGAAGCATATTATGTATTACTTCCAGCTTCCTCATTTTGGGGTTGTTACTGGTATTCACTTATTAGGTTGTGGCTTGTTTTTTTTGTTTTTTGTTTTTTTGCAGTGCTTGGGCTTGAATTCAGGGCCTAGGTGCTGTCCTTGAGCTTTTTTGCTCAAGGCTAGCCACAGAATCCAATTCCAGCTTTTAATGTTTAGTGCTTGTTTGGAGATGAGGCTCATGGACTTTTCTGCCCAAGCTGGCTTCAAACCACGATCCTCAGCCTCCTGAATAGCTACTATTATAAGCATGAGCCACTGGCCCCAGTGGTCATATTCTTTTTTTAAGAGTTGGCAGCTCTTTGTCTGTTCTTTCAGAAGTGCCATCCTCCAGTCCATGTATTAGCTCCCTAAAGCAAAGAAGACAAGGTAAACCCATTTGTTGCAGTGTTGTTTAGTAACAATTTAGTAACATCTTAAACCAGAGTAAAATAGAACAAAGTTGTTCAGTCGAGTCCATCACATAAGGATTATGTTTAAACACACAACTTTGCTTGCTGACAAAGGTCAAGCCCTATGACTGACAAAAAACAAAACAAAAACCTTTGTTCTGGATTTAAGGAACTGCTCAAAGATTTTTACAATGTTGGTTATCTAAGATGTGTTTAGCCAGGTGCTTATACTCCCATGTTTTGCTCCTGCTAGGAAACTATAAATTTTCCCTTTCAAATATTAAAAAAAATATTTCAAATCCCACCTATTACCAGACCATATTGAAATTTTCAAATATAGCTAAAGGAAATGGAGTCAGCATGCTATTCCATATATATAGCAGTAATCACAGTAGCCAAGATTCACAAGATATAATAGCCTAAGTGTCCAGGAGCTAATGAGCAAAGAAAATGTGGCCTATATACCTCATCACATTTTATGTAGTCTTAAAACAAAAAGGGAATCCTGTTACTTCACACAGCATGGATTAACCTGTTAAATATGCCAGGCAGAGAATACTGCATGATTCTCCATGGAATCTTCAAAGTTGCAATAATGGTAATTAGAAGGCTGGGAAATGGTGATAGAAAAGTTGGTTAAATGTTTGGTCAAGGCCAAAAATTTAAGTTAGGAAGAAGCAGCTCCAGAGATACTGCCCAACATTATGGCTCATACCTAGAAAAATCCCCACAGGAGATTAAGGCAAAGAGGATCCTAAGTTGTAGATTGGCCTGGGCTATACCACAATACTTGTCTCAGAGAAGAAGGTTAGGGAAGGTTTAGTGAACAAGATGTTAACTTTAGTTAATAAAGTTATATTTTGAAAATTGCTAAAAGCAGATTTTAAGTGTTCTCGTCACAAAAGGTAAATGTGCGAAATAATGCTATTCATTAGCTCAGCTGAGCCATTCCACCATGTGTGCATATTTCAAAACATCGTGTTGGGGCTGGGAAGGTGGCTCAGCGGTAGAGTGCTTGCCTTGCATGCATGAGGCCCTGGGTGCAATTCCTCAGCACCACATATGCAGAAAAAGCCAGAAGTGGTGCTGTGGCTCAAGTGGTAGCGCGCTAGCCTTGAGCTGAAGAGCAGGACAACATTCAAGCCCCACGAGAGACCCTCCCTTCCCCCCCCCCAAAAAAAAAATCATGTCATGTGTAATATCCAAATAGCTAAACAATTCTTGTTTTTTAGTTTAAAAATAGGAAAAGAAAAACTTTACTTTTTGGTTAGCCTCTATGCAGTTATTTAACATTTGTTTTTCTCCTAGGGAGAAGTTAACCATTGGATGCCGCCAGCTGGTTGAGATGGAATATACCATGCAGCAGTGCAGTGCTTCTGTCTACATGGAAGCCAGGAACAGGGGATGGTGTGGAGACACACTCAATGACAGGGCCTAAGTGCTGATTTGGAACTTAAGAGGAACTACATTGTCTTCATAAAAGAGTAATTTTCAACCTGGTCACTTTTTTGAGCCAAACTCAGGAAATTTTAAGTAGTTTCATAAGTACAAAAAAGTGATTATATTATTGACAATCTCAGTAAAGCTCTAAAAAACCTCATGCATCCATGTGTGGTAAACTGTGGACGGGACTCTTTTGGAGTTGACAATACCTTCATACCTCTGCAAGTGGTACCAAGCCAGTATCTTTAAGGAAAGGAGAGCCATCTTCTCACTGCTCCCAGGGCAGGAGCCATAGTGGCATCTGAGGAAGTCCTACAGCATAGCATTACCAATTCCCAAACCCTCAGGATGGGCCCATGACCGCACACTGCCAAGAATTAGGACAAGACCATGCTTACCATATCCCAGAACAAACTCTTGTCCTGAGATGTTTCTGTGATCAAACGGTCATTCATATAAATCTGGTGGAAATGCCACCACCTTCCTCAGGGTAATAAACGTGGCTTCTTTTCTTCCCTGGACTTGTCTTTTGTCAGTGCGTTTCTGTTGGGGACAGGCCCCGTGCTGATTTGCCTCTTAAAATGTGAAGCAACATGAATTTTTGGAATTAGGTGGCAATGACTGACTTGAAGTTTGCCCAGTGTTTAATTGACTTCTAATTTAGTTATACAGTAAGTTGGAAATCTGTTAACTGCAATGTATTATGCCCTTGTTAATACACCACATTTGGCATTCTATTATAAATGTTAATTTATTTTTAAAAAGCAATAAATAACTTATTTTAGTAAGATTTTGATTTTCATTTTACTTCCAAACAACTTTTGTGAAATGAGTACAGGTGTAATGATGGAAGTGACCATCTCCAAGAAGAGGGAACCAGTTCAGCATGTTTATTTTATATTGGCCAGGGTAAGTAACCTCGCCACTGAGTATTGGGATGGCAAAGTGTGGTCAGGGACATAGGTTCATAGGGATATGAACCTCTTTGTGAACCAGAAGTTTCAGTTGATGGTCTCTACTCTTTCTTCTCTAGGAGCATCTTTTTTTTTTGTGGGGAGGGGGGAGTGGGGGGGGAGGTCCGCTCATGGGGCCTGAACTCTGGGCCTGGGCGCTGTCCCTCAGCTCTTCAGCTCAAGGCTAGCGCTCTACCACTTGAGCCACAGCGCCACTTCGGGCTTTTTTCTTTTTGCTTATGTGGTGCTGAGGAATTGAACCCAGGGCCTCATGCGTGCAAGGCTCTACCACTGAGCCACCTTCCCAGCCCCTAGCATCTTTATTCCTCAACTTGTGGTTTTTACTGCGTTGTTTTGCTCTGTGTTGTAATTTTATCTTTTTTCTAGTTTTACATTTCATGCAATTTCATTGTATTCTGAAACTTGCCAACTTACCTGAGCATATTTCACCCTTATGTATGTGGTTTCTATGTTTTATTTTAAACATTAATTTGTGGTTTGTTTTCAACTTGTTTATTTTACTGATATATGATATATATATATATATATATATATATAATCGCTCTTTTCTAACCTTTTCCAGCTGGTACTCTACCACTTGAGCCAGACCTCCAGTCCTGCTTTTTGGTGGATATTTTGGAGATGGAATCTTTGGACTTTTCTGCCTGAGCTGACCTTCTGCAGATTTGAGTTTCCTACATGTAGCCACTACTAGGCTTGGCTTCTTTGCTCATCTTAAACTTTTATATTTGCTCTTCATAGTTACATTTGTTGTGTTTTATATTTGTTTTGTATTGCAGGTTTCTTCCTATCAACTATTCTAGGGTTGCAGTAACTCATTGGCTCAAAGATCCTAAGCCCTACTTTAATAGAACGTCCTTTTTTTTGCTGGGGGGGGGGGTGCTGTGGGGCCTGAACTCTGGGCCTGGGCACCGTCTCTCAGCTCTTCAGCTCAAGGCTAGCGCTCTACCACTTGAACCATAACACCACTTCCAGCATTTTCTGTGTATGTGGTGCTGAGGAATTGTACCCAGGACCTCATGCATGCAAGGCAAGCACTACTGCTGAGCCACTTTCCCAACCCCTACATTTTTAATGGACCTTCCAGCCTGGGCTGTCTTCAAATCACTATCCTCAAATCTTCAGCCTCCTGAGTAGCTAGGATTACAGGTGTGAGCCACCAACTCCCAGCTTAACTTTTTATAATGTAGGTCTTGGGCCTTCACATAAAGGCCAGGCAACACATCCAATTCTGTTTCCTTGATATTTTTAATGTCTTAAGAACAGAATTCTTTCAAAGTCAATCTGTTATATTATTCACATGCTCCATTTCATCAACTCCCTAGCCTACCAAGTGATGAATTGAGATGAATTTACTTCTTAAAATAATAGATGTAATTGGACCCAGGTAGCTCATTCCTGTAATCCTAGCCACTCAGGAGGCTGAGATCAAAGATTGTGGTTCAAAGCCAGCCGGGCAGAAAAATTGGTGAGCCTCATCTCCAATTAACCACCAAAAAGCCACAGTAGAGCTATGGTGAGTAGTTGAGTGCTAGCTTTGAGCACAAAGGCTCAGGGCAGCACCCAGGCCCTGAGTTTTCCAAAGGGAAAAGTAATACAAGTCATTAGTGAACGATCAAAGAGCAATGCTGTTCATAGCTTCTGGAGATTTTACAAATACACTCTTGTATTTTTGTGCGTCTTTTGCAGAAATAACCCATTCAAAGAGGACAGGAACAACACTAGCTCTATTCAAGTTATGTTCAGAATTTTTGACAAAATACTTGGGACTCACGAAGACATGTTTTACCTTTGTCTACCAAAATTGACTCAAAAGTTCTGTTTGTGGTTTGCATTGGATGAAAAGCTTGTAAAACTCAAATGTACATGTTAGGTTTGGGTATTCTCACAAAAACACATTCTTCTGGAGTCATGGTGCCCTAAAGAGTTTCCTGATACTGGTGTTTATATTTGTATGTATAATTTGCATCTAAAATCTATTTAGTGTATCCCTTAATATTTCAGGATATTGATGACAACAATAGCCAACCAGAGGTTTTATACTTTCTTTCTTGAATTCTGATCTACTTTTTTTTTTTTTTTTTTTGTCGGTCGTGGGGCTAGAACTCTGGGCCTGGGCGCTGTCCCTCAGCTCTTCAGCTCAAGGCGAGCGCTCTACCACTTGAGCTACAGCGCCACTTCCGGTTTTCTGGTGGTTTATTGGAGATAGGAGTCTCACGGTCTCTCCTGCCCGGGCTGGCTTTGAACCGCGATCCTCAGATCTCAGCCTCCTGAGTAGCTAGGATTACAGGCGTGAGCCACCAGCGCCCAGCCTGATCTACTTTTGTTTGTAAACTGCATGTAATTTGCCTGAAATTTGATTCTGGATATGAGATTTTTTTTTTTTTTTTTTTTGCCAATCCTGGGGCTTGAACTCAGGGCCTGGGCACTGTCCTTGAGCCTCTCTGTACTCAAGGCTAGCATTCTACCACTTGAACCACTGCACCACTTTCGGCTTTTTCTATTTAGGCAGTATTGAGGAATCAAACCCAGGGCTTCATGCATGCTAGATAAGCACTCTACCACTAAGCCACATTGCTAGCCCACTAATGAGAAATTCTTGAGAAATACCATTTGTAAGCTTCGAAGATGAGGGAGCAGGCAAAAACCTTAGCTACTGGCTTGGTTCAGTGTTCCTACGTACCAATTTTAATATCCTATTTTTTTTGAGTGCTAACCTTTTTTCAGCTTTTGCAACTTCACTGGACAGTATATTAACTCAGAACATACCTCTATGAGTTAAGAATGGCTTTCTAGTGGGATAAACATGATGTCCTAGCTCTTAAAGTCAGGTCCTTTAAAAGCTTGGCACTTTTGGTTAAGCTTGTACTTGTTTCATTAAACACATCTTCATGTAACCACCAGCTCATTCAAGATGTAATGTCTCCATCAACCCTAGAAACTCTCTTGTGCTGCTTTGAACTCCCACACCCACCTTGAGGTCGCTGCTTACTGTTTTCCCTTTTTTAGAATGCCGAGTGGGGCCTTCGAGTACAGCTCACAAGATACTTGGGGTCCCCCTAAGCTACCTGCAGTTCACTCTTCATTCCTAAGTAGTATTCTGCAAGGATGGTCCTGTTTATTCATTCACCCAGCAGTTGAAATGTTTCTTTGGTTGACTTCAGTTTTTGGTGATTATGAATAGCTATTCAATACTAATTTGTGAACATGTTCCATTTCAATTGGGCAAATGCCTTAGTCAGACTGTTTTATCACAGGGCCTTAGAAACTACTATTTTTAAAATGCCTGTGTAGTTTTACAACTCCTCTTAATTAACTGTTAGCAACTCTGAATCCTAACCAGAATTTGACAGTAAGCATGTGTGTCCTGTTTTCCTGTGGTTTATATTACTGACCGTTATTCCTATTTGTTCAAATACTCTACCCATCTTAAATTGACTTGTTTGGCCTGGTGATGTAATTTAGGGTACTTGCTTAGCATATATGAGGCCCCAGGACCAACCACTACCATCACTCAAAATAACATAACTGAACCTGACACTGGTAGTTCAGGTCTATCCTATTCAGGAGACAGATCTCAGGACTGCAGGGGTCAAAGCCAGCCTGGGCCATTAATCAGCAAAAAAATGGAAATGAAGCTGTGGCTAAAGTGGTAGAGTGCTAGCCCTGAGCACAAAAGTTCAGGAAGTGTCCAGGCCAGAAAAAAAATTATCTGGACACAAATCCACCAGGTATTTTCTCAAAGCTTTGTACCATTTTTTAATTTTTTTTCTTTTTGCCGAGAAAACACTTGCCTTAAGACAGGATTTGGGAGTAACCTCAGTGATTATCTGACCCTGCCAATTACTGACTGGATGACTAGTGCATGATACCTTCACTTTTTAGCTAGAATTAGCAACTCAACTTCTAAGTTTCATTGCTCTACCTTAACTGTCTTTTCCAGGCTAAAGTTAGTCAAAGTACTATTTGTTCACCCCAAGCAATTATGTTGTTTGTTATTCAGTCATACCCTTCCCCTTTTTATATATATTTCCATGAGCTATTAACTCTATACATACCCATATGTAAGTTATCATCCTTCTATACCCATCTCCCAGTAATGTGTGCAGGTACAGGTGTGCCTAGCATGTGTGAGGACCCAAGCACTAAATACTCAACACCAGAAAAACTAAGTTTAGTACTTCTATCGGTCATTGTAGTAAGTTTGTATACTTGTCACTTAATGTATCACTCTACCACTGAGCCACATTCCCCGTCCTGTTCTCTTAACCTCCAAGCACTGAGCTTAGTCAGATGTTTAAAGGAGTTGTGGCTTCGTTTTATTAAGAATTTAAGAGTACCTGTGTATAGACTAGGAGGGAGCATGGCTTAAGTGGCAGAGTCCTCAATTTTGATAGCATAAAAGCAAAACAAAAAAACACATGTAATTGTTGTCTTTTTCCTTCCTAAACCCTCAGTTAATTTGCTATGTCTTTTATCTCAGATTCCACAAAAAAAAAAAAATATTTTGGTAACAAAGGTATAGATGCTAATGAGGCAGCTCCAAGGCTGCAGAAATGTTCTGCTGGGACTATTCTCTGTTTAATTTTATGAATTCTTAGATTTGGAGAAGCTAATTGATTAATCACCGATTTGTTAATGAAGCAGAGGTTTTAGCATGTGGCACACCCCTAAGCTCACAATTTTCTCCCAAAGGACTTGCACATGGGTGATTCTAAAACATTTGAACAGTAAATGGCAAAGTAGCCAAAATTAAAAAACAAAACGCCAAAATTAAAACCACCTCTGCATATAGCAAACTAGTTGGTGTATTACAAGCAGATATCATTTCCTGGTTTAGAAAATTCAGTATGTTTTCTGCATTACAGATGATTCAAAGTATTATTGTTCATCTATTCTAAAACACTGTAAAACAAAATGTCCATTAAGCACCATTTTGTTAAAATGAGCATCTTAAAAAATGCAATGCTTTTATCAGGTGCTGGTAGCTTACAACTGTAATCCTAACCACTCAGGGAGACAAGATCAAGAGGAATGTTTGAGGCCAGCCCAGACAGCAGTCAGACTCCCATCTTCAAAAAGCCAGGCTGGAGGCATAGCTCAAGTAGTAGAACACCAGTAAAACAAGCACCACAGTGCCATAAAACACATGACTTTTTAGCCACCAAACTCCCATTTGTCATAAATGGTAATTAGGAAAACTGACATAAAAGTATTCCCATTTATTTGCATGAAGCACATTACTTATGAAATAATTTCAAGGATCTTAAGTGCTGAATCCTCATCTAAAACTTTATTTCCTTGAGCTCAATAGAACATACACAGATCCATGTAAAGAACAGTCATCATATTAAGCAAATTCAAATATAACTTGCTAAACTAGTTCTAGTCAGAAACAAAGCAACATAAATGGTTAGTAACCAGGTGATCTGATTTTCTTTTTGAGTAGTTCTCTGAAATCTGGTAGAAACAAAGTGGCAAAGGACCACCAGAACAAATGTCTAACCTCCTCCTAACCCAAGTTAGCCACTGAAGAGTCATCTCACCAGTTCTTTAGGTTCAGGCATTCTTCATTTTCTGTGAAAAAAAGATTTTATATCATCCCTTATTCCAAATGTGAGATGCTGGGTGAATTTTTTCTACAAATACCTTAAGTTCATCCTTATATATTAAAAAAATCCAACTTTTAGTAACGAATGAGTAGACAAACATTTGGATATTCATCCCATCGTGCAAGGACTTCGGCCAAGGTACCTTTTAATGTGTCTGCAAGCATTAGACGTCATCATTTTGGCACCATATGTTAGGTGTATAACAATACATCAGATACCAGTTCATCCCAACCAGTATTTATCCAGACAAATAGAAAAGCTGAACAAAAATATAGTTCTGATAAGGGCCACATTCACAAACCCAACAGTTGGTAGTAATTATTTTCTTCCCCATCAAAGGCTCTGTTCAAGATTTTGTTCATGATAAAAACAGGATTTGGAAAAATGATAAAATGCTTCATTTTTCTTATCACTATCCATTAAATGTCCTATACTTGTCAAATTAATTCAAACTAATACTTGAACTACCAAATCATCACTGTTACTGTTCAGCAGCAACTCTGTTCAAACGTCAATACTACATTTTCAAAAAAAAAAAAAGCAGCTGAATCGAGTGCTACCAAGTCTGCATTTAAGAAGCCCTACTCTGCATCCTTAAAGACTGCCATTCTGCTTCAGTAACTGAGTTTGTCACATTTTATTTCAACAGATAAAGCACTCTGCTGAGAATATAAAAAGTTATAAAAAGGCAATCATAAAAGATTAAATATTGGTAGGCATGTCAGCTTTTAATAAAAACAAAAATAGTCATTGTTATCTTATTTAAATAAGTAACTTTTGTTATAGAGTATTCCAGTTATTGAAAAAGGGTCCTTAAAAATCCCAACTGCCTACATGTTTAAACCCTATTCTTCTATCCCATTATAAACAACTGAGGGAGGAGTCACTGAATGTGCAAATTGGCAAAACAAATGTGGAGAAGGGACTTCTTGAAGTGACATGCCCAATCAAATTCTGTTTATTCTTTTATAGTATCAACTTCCAAAAGATAAAATAACCAAAGAAAGTCTTAAAAAGACACAAAACAGACCTTCATCTTTGCATTCCTTCCCAAACACAAAAAGTTATGTACAGCGTGTTTAATAATATGCAATATGCAAAAGCTTTGTGTTGCTGTTAACAACATCTATGAACATCTATACCCACCCACCCTCCTTATTCACAAGTGTACCTCTACTAAACACAATTACATCACTAAGCCTGTTAGTTTAAGAGGGTCTTAAATTTGTTAAAACTGGAAAATCTTTGTGTAAGGGCTCCACTCATTTGACTCAACATTATAGACTTCCACCGTATTCAGAAATTCATTGCCATCAAATCCTCCCACTGCATAAATGGTGTTCCCCACAGTTGTGATCCCAGCATTGCTCCTGGGTGAAGTCATATTTCCCATCATCTTCCATTCATTCCTAGTTGGATCGTACATCTCCACACAACTAATTGCATGAGAGCCATCAAAGCCGCCGCCCACAAACAGTTTTCCTAAAAAAGAAATGAAGCAGAATAAATCTTCACGCTGAAGTATAATAATGAAAGGAAAATCACATACACGTATCTATTAATCCTAAAAAACATTTCTCAATTCTCAATAATTGTTTTGTAGTCATTAAAGAAATGAGAGGCACAAAGTTGAACAACTCATTTACAGCTCTTAGGTTGGCAAATTAGATAGCATTATACACTGAAGTTTGTGTATCTGGTCCAGTTTATAGAACTAAATACTCCACAACAACTGGAATTCTAGAGCTTTCCATTCAAAGCCAGGCACTGGTGGCTCATGCCTGTAATGTATCCTAGCTACTCAGGAGACTGTGAGGATAGCAGTTTAAAGCCAGCCCAGGCAAGAAAGTCCATGAAACTCTTATCTCCAATTAACCACCAGAAAATCAGAAATGGTGCTGTCTGTGGCTCAAGTGGTAGAGCTCTAGCCTTGAGCTTAAGAGCTCAGGAACAGCGCCCAGGCCCAGAGATGCTGGAAGAGACATTCTCACACTGTCTACACATGAGTCTGTTAAGACTCAGCTTTGTTTCAAAAAACAATGCTAAATGATGACCATTATATAACTAGAAATTTAAAACAACAATAAAACCGGTATGAAAAGCAAGCTGTGTCTACAACATGGTAAGGCATTAAAAGTATTCTATGAAGGTTTAAGTTCCAATTCGTGTGGGAAAAAAATGGATTTGTATCTGCAACACTTGGAAATCATATTTTACAATTACCACTAGAAAGGGCAGGAAGCTCAAGATGAAATGTTTGGGATTTGGTTTATGGAAGAAAATGATTTGGAATTTCATTAAATACCAAAAGACTGGTGATTATATTTATGTATTGAGTCTGACTAGAGGGGGAAAACAGCAATATAAAACCCCAACAAACTTCTAAAAGACAAGTCCCCAACCCCACTGATCAGAGATGGCTGCTTCTGAATTCTAAATTGGATAAGGGTATATATGACTTCTATCATTTTCACCTTCTTGGAATCTGAGAACAAATCCTTGCTACTATTATTTACTTCTCCAAATCCAGACTTACCATCAAGAACAGCTACTCCAGCTCCTCGCCTGGCCACATTCATGGGAGCAATTAAAGTCCAGGTGTTATTTTCAGGACTGTAACGCTCTACTGTGTTCAGACAATTCCAAGACTCTGCACCTCCAATAATGTACAAATACCCACCAAGCTCACAAACTGCAGACTGGTGTCTACCTATAAAATCAAGCCAAACCAAGATGATTACCAATTCTTTCAAACCTGTGTGAAGTCACACATACAATTTCACAAGTCTTTAACTTACGAATGTTAAGAGGAGCACAGCTTGTCCACGATTTTGTTACAGGATCAAAAACATCACAATTTTTCAGTCCTTTCTGACCGTATGGATCAGAGCCACCAATGATGTATAATTTCCCATCAAGAGCACATACTCCTATGTGAACATAAGATACAGCTATACATTAATAACTTACTGTATTTAGATATTGGCTATCTCAGAAGAAAAGTATTATTACCTGCATTACATCGGTTAGTTCTCAATTCTGGAACAGGGGTCCAGTCATCAATGTTTGGGTCATATGTCTCTCCACAACTCAAGTCATCTGAGTGGCCATTTGATCCACCTACCACATAGAGTTGGCCCTATGCCAAAATGAAAGGTGAGAATTTCTGCCATGCTAAAGAAACAAAGCTAAATATAGGGTGTGATGGCAATATAATATGCTTACCATGAGTACAGCCATCTGGAATCGGGCTCTTGGTGTTCTCATAGGAGCAAGAAAGGACCAATGATCTGTATGTGGATCATAGCATTCAACTGTTCGAAGACATTCCTCTCTGTTATAGCCACCTGCTCAAAGAACCAGAGAGATTTATTTCTAAAATATTCAACTGGTTAAGGGTTTCTAGTTAATGTATTTTTTTGAGACAAGCTGTCCTATGGAACCCAGGTTAGCCTTGAATTTATGATCCTCCTCCGTACCCACTCAGAATGGTCCAAATAATATGTACAAAGAAAATATTAAAACCACAAAACACATTAAGAAACCAGTGGCTGATATTTTAATTAAAGGCTCACAAAAGTAATATTGTTAGTGTGAGCAAGTTATTTATTCTTGGCATAAAGTTTATTCATGCTCTATATAGTTTAAAAAAAAATTATAGGAGCTGGGAAGGTGGCTCAGTGGTAGAGCGCTTGCCTTGCACGCATGAGGCCCTGGGTTCGATTCCTCAGCACCACATAAGTAAAAAAAAAAAAAAAAGCCGGAAGTGGCGCTGTGGCTCAAGTGGTAGAGCCTTAAGCTGAAGAGCGAGGGACAGCGCCCAGGCCCAGAGCTCAGGCCCCACGACCGGACCTAAAACAAAAAAAATTATAAACAGGCTAGCTTGGTTACGTCTATTTAGTGGTATTATTTCTGTCCTTTTGAAATGCCATGGAAATCTATTAAGTATATTAAGCCCTCAAATTTGCATGCCACAAGCAAGAATCAATGGTCCTTTACAGGCTTGTCCACTTAAATGTTTCCAACAAATCACAAATCCTTCTGTATTCACCTGCTGCTATGAGTTTGCCATTCATCTCTGCTGTCCCCAGTCCAGACCGTGCATACTGCATTGGAGACATGGACTTTTCTATTAGCTCATCTGGTTGCATCTCAAAGCTTAAACTCTTCGTTAGTTTTGGAGTACTTGTTGGTGAGCTCTGTGGGCTATTTCGCCCATGAAGGAAAATGACGCAAAATATACCATCCAGCACAGCCAGGCACAAGTAAGTGTTATCTGCAAACACAAGAGTTCCATGTTTATGATGCAATTACTAATTAATACTTTTGATTGCCATATGATTGTGATTTGGACTCCATTCCAGATCCCTGATTGGGATATTCTACTATTGTTTTCCAAATTTAATTGCTTCTGAAGTTTTCCTTAGTCAATCTAAAATCATTAAAATTGACTAGGCTCCTTAAGAATAAACTGAAGACAAAGCTGGCCATTGTCCTATACTTACTTGAAGTCTTCTCTGAAGCAACGATTTTCCACTCATGTTTAGGGCTTTGTACTGTAGCATTTGGAGAAGAGAGACATCCAGTGGAACTGCTACTTATCTGCTTATGGCCATTCTCACGTGGCGGCTTTTTCTGCAAAATCAAAAGGCAGCTACAGAAACCTAGCCAAAGACCATACCTGGTGTACCTTTGTTCCTGAGCTAGTCCATGACACTGCCAAGCACGTGAGTAACTTCCACCTAAATAAGACACCGATAACACACTAAATTTAACACAACCAGTACTTTCTAGTTGACAAATTACTGGCACATTTCCAGCTCCAGATAATAAAAACAGTACTTAAACAACTAGTTTGAAAACATTCAGTTTAAACAATCCAAAAAGCTCAAGTCTCAGAAGGATATCTCAATGAGTGTGAGGAAGAAGAAAAATACCATCTATAAGTCAAATAAGCTCAAGTACTGTTTTGGATCCAGTATACAATCTCCCAAAAGCTATCATAAATTTGTAATGGCACGAGTTACCTGAGAAAAAACACATGTAACTGTCACCACCGAACTGTCAAACCTAACTAAAGGTTACCATATGCACTGGTATCCTTTATACATAGCCACTGAAGTGAGCAGACAAAGAGCCACCCAGTCTCTCTCAAACTATTTTATACAAAAACAAAGCCATCACAAGCAGCACTAAAGTTGTTATTTCCTTAGGGCTGTCTCATATGTAAAATAGAGTGGTGCTCTAGACAAAAGTACTTCAACACAACAATTAAGAAATGAAATACTACTACAAGAACCAAATATTCACAAAATTGAAGTATCTAGGAAGTAACACGTGGACAAATGACTCTTAAGAGAACTACATAGACTTCCTCATATATGAGTTTGCTTTCATAGCTTTCTTCCCAGTCTGAGTCCTTGTCACTTCCAAGAACTATGATCTTATGGAACTGGAGGATTGGTCAAAACTACTATGAGAATAACTGCCAAACAAACTGGTGCCACCTTAGTAATTAATTATCTGGCCAGCCCACTTAATCTTCAGACCATAGGGTCCAGACCACATAGGGAGGTGTAATTTCTATTGGAAAATTCTTGCTAATGGAAAGAAAAAGCAAGTGATACAAGTAATATAATAGCTATAATGTATTATGATCAAAAGTTAGGTTTGGCCTGGAGTGGTGGCACATCTATCATGAAGGCAGGAGAATGATGAGCTTAGGCTAAACCCATCTTCAGGTCTGGACCATTCAGTAAGTAGTTAACAGAATGTATGCACTCCTTTGAGAAAAGGCAGAGTATGTCACACTGTTGGTTAGCACTGATTTACATGTGCACACGTAGGTATAGTTACCACCTCTTTTAATCCAAAGAAGATGGACTATATTGTCTAAGAAGTTACCCAATAAAACAGCTAAAATTAAGGTTAGGAATTCTGAGAATGAAGCCTCTCATTTTATACAATGCAGTAGAAAACCACCAGGAACTAAAGTTAGTGATATCAAGCTGTATCTGGGGAGTAACAAAGTATGTGACTCTCTCACCTCTCCTAACTTGGGGAAGTATACCCCAAATAGAAGACAGTCACATTCAGAGGTCTGATTGCAGTAAAACTACTGTAATGTACAAAGAAAAATGAAAGGGATGACTACCACTGAAGACTCGCATTATAAAACAGGCCTAGGATAGAATGCTATCCCCAGTTAATTTTCTATGACCTTTCAGATGACTTAACAGTTTACAAATATACTCTCCCTTCAAGCTTTCTTTCCCCACATCAGGTAGCTTTTACGTGATTAGAATCTAATCCTGCTCCTACCTTTCTATGACTCCATCTCAACCTTCCTTCTTCTACTCAGAAGCCTGTAATATGTGGCAGCTCATCCTATGTGCTTCACCATCCCTATTCAGGGCACTATAAACTAGCAAGGCAGGATCCCACTCATGCTCAATTCTTCCTCAAACCTCCTAAATGATTATGGAGGCCTGCAAACTCTGATTATATGTGCGTATACATACACGGTACACAATCCATCCTTTCTCCTTAAATTTCTCCATCCTTTTATGCTTGATCAACCTTCTCATTTTTAAAAAAACCCGTTCCTGCTTGCAATATCTACAAACTGGTCTCGTGGGCTTTATCTATCCTGTATCTCCCCAATACTGGATTACTGAAACTGAACTGTATTTACCTGTTCCCACTCTTCCCTCAGTTAAATTCTTCCTGCTATCCCAAAATAAAGCTAAGCCTATCTAGGTTGCATGTGCCCCTTTCCCAGACTCAGGACCTCCAACCTGGAGAGAAACAACTTTGCCCAAGTAACATGATCTTAAACAGGGAAATACAGTGATCATGAAGTAATTAACCCACATAATTATGTATTAAATGCCAAAAATGAACAAATCAACATTTTAATACTTTATTAATCCTAGGATTTTCTTTTCTTTTTTTGAGGTGGGAGGTGTGCGGGGATCAGTCCTAGGCCTTGAACTCAGGGCTTAGGTACTACATGTGAGATTTTTGCTCAAGGCTACGATTCTTTTTATCACTTTGAGTCACTGCTCCAATTTTGTCTTTTTGGTAGTTTATTAGAGATAAGAGCTTGTCAGGCTTTCCCACCTAGGCTGGCTTTGAAGGGTGATCCCTCAGATCCTACTTTCCTGAATATGCTAGATACTACTGCCTGGCTTCCTTGAACTTATAGAAAGACAACTCTGGCCTAAAAATTAATGGATTTTGCAATCTAACTTACACACCTCTAAATCATAAGCCTACACAAATGCCTCCTCTGTGGTTTCCAGCTATTTCATTACACCTCCTTTAGGGTACTTACAGGCATTTGCTTGTAAGAGTATTATTTATCCACTCTGATTAGGTCTTGCCAGCAGGAACCAACTCTTGTACTTTTTGTGGCATTGTTGGATTTGAACTCTGTGGGCTCGACACTTGGTAAGTAAACAATTATTTGAGCCATTTCTTCATCTTTTTTGTTTTTGTTTTTCAAGACACCCAGGTTGGTCTGGACTTCTATTTATGCTTTCTGTTAGATCTGTGACAAGCACACACTACGATACCCAGATTTTTCTGTTGAGAGGGGGATGTCTTTTTGTTTAGCCTAGGTTGGCCCTGAAATACAGAATTGTCCTGATGTCAGCCTTCCGTGTATAGCTAGGATGTATCTAGCATTTTTGTGTCTCTATGCCAAACATCATGGCTTGACACTTACTGGGTATTTAATCTTTGTATGGTTGAAAGGACACTTTAAAAGTGTTAACTTAAATGTTATAGTTCGGTTAGGAATGTGGCTTAGTGGTAAAGTGCTTGCCTAGCACGCATGAAACCCTAGGTTTGATTCCTCAGTACCACATAAACAGAAAAGCCGAAAGTGACACTGTGGCTCAAGTGGTAGAGGACTAGCCTTGAGCTTTTAGAAGCTCAGGGACAGTTCCCAGGCTGAGTTCAAGCCACTGGACTGGCAAAAATAAAAAGTTAACTAGTTAACAGAGAAAATACCCTAAATATTCAAAATGAAGCACCAAATTCTCAACTAATTCTAACCCCAAAATTCTTTAGAAAATACTCAAACACAAGCACCACAGAACACCACAGAGTGCTTTTAATAACAACCTAAAGATGACTAGCAACTCTTATCATTTACCCTCTAAATTATTCTTTTAGAGCCTTATGCTTGTTAGGCAAGCACTCTACCTACCACTTGAGCCACACCAACACTGTTTTACTTAAGGCATTTTTTTAGATAGGCTCTTTCTTAAGGTATTTTTCAGATAGGTCCTGTCCAGGCAAGCCTCGAACTGCAAACTTCTATCTATATCTCCTACATAGGAGAAATTTGCAGATGTAAACAATCACATCAAACTTGCTGGCTGAGCTAGGATCAACACTGTCTTTCCTGGGCTACCCTCAAACCACCATCATCCATCTGTTTCCTGAGAAGCTGGGATTACAGACAAGCACCACAATGATCAGGTCACATCCTAATTAAAAATTTAAAAAAGAAAATAACTTTAATCTAGATTTACTTTATAGCTTATTCCTCACTAGTACATTGCTGGCCTAAAAGGCCAAGAAAGTATGTTATTTCACGAGCATTTTTATAAATTTCAAGCAGAGGCACAGCCATCAGCCAAAACCTAGTCAGGAAAATGGGCTCCTTGGGGCAGTATAGAACAATGATAGGTAAGGGGTTAAGTGCAGGCTTGCAAGACACTAGAAACCTTAAATAAAAAATGGGTAGGGTTTACACATTGGTTAGTTCACGATTTGTGAGCTGACAGTGGCTCAATGGTAGGCCTTGCATACAATGTCAACCAATACAAAAAAATAAAAGAACATTTTCCCTAAGCTGAAGTTCTAGATTAAATGTTTTCTAATAATGGTTGAAAATGTTTGAATATACTTGTGTTTAATAAAAGCAACTAAATCAGCACAGTGGAATTATGTCTTAATTCGTTTTGCTCAAGAAACATCTAGGTTACATTGTAACATAGGATCAACAACTTCTGAGCTGATAATGCTGCAGAAACACTGTAAGCCTTGTTAACAGGTCTCCAGTGTTGTCTTAGCTATGCCATTTCTCATTTCAAATGAAAGCCCACTAATGACACAGCCTAATTGCTTGTGCAGTCATCAACTTAAGTGTATCTTTTTTCATCACAGGATCTATTAGATATGCTGTTGCAACTGTTTTTCATCATCTAGCCAAAACAATAACTAATTTCTAAATTGCTTCATCTTGCTGTCCTTATTTTTAACTATGTAAATTCTACTTTATGAGAAAAAAAAAATCTAAATGGGGTTTTCTAATTTGCTGAGTTAACTTCCGATTATGTGGCAAAAATGCTAGTTAACTCTAAAGTAAGTTTTCTCCCCCAAAAGTGCTTCTGTCCAGTTATACCAATGAAATCTATCCACTTTCCTTTATTAAAGGAAAATTTATGCTTTAAAGTTCTCTAGTCAAGTTTTAACCTGAGGTTACCTCAGACTGTGCAATGTGTACCTGCACAAACTGAATGTGGTCATCATCACTGCCAAACACCTCAGCCTGTCCATCTAGAAGGTTCCCATCAAGCAGCTTGTGATCAGCTGAGTAGTACAAGGTTTGAACCTGCAAAACAGCAACAGAACACCCATGTGGCTACTGTCACCATGGCTACTCCACTAGAGCGCAGATACACAACCGCCTCAAGGTAACCTCCAGTGTGCTGCTTAAGCTTCTTTTCATCTTACTCTGGCGGGATCCCGAAGTAAAGAAAAATACATGTCATGGTGGTAAAAATTTAAAAAGCAAAAACAAAAAAACCCAAAATCAAACACAAAATCTTCTAAGACTGGCTGAAGACTCCTTGGCTTGATTGGCTTGAAAGAAATCTTCACTGTTTTCATAGCTTCTATTGTATAACATTAAAAAAAAAAAAAAGAAAAAGAAAAGGCACCAGTAACAATGGGGATTCTTAAGAGAATATACATATTTACAATAAAAGAATTATTTACACCTTTGAAAATAAATGGTATGACTTGCATCAACATACTTCTCTCCTGTAGGTAATGTCAGTTAAACAAATAAATACTAGTGTAAAACTTCAAGCAAGTTTCAGTCCTCCTTGACAGATGCAAATACAGTTAATGCATCTGATTTTCAAGTGGGAAATGACAGAAATGAAAGATGGAGTTTGTCCTGTTTCAAAAGATAGTAATAATGTAGTCTTATGGACCGAGCAGACTGGCAAGCCTTCAGTGATTACGAAGGCTAATGAGGAAAGATCAACCAATGCTGCTCCCTCCACCTGCCTATGTTAATTCCCACCATTTCTGGTTTTCTTGTATAGTTTTAAAAGTTAAACGACTGATTGACTAAACGTATGAACAACACCAGTGAGAAACACACAGCTTTAAAGACAAGAATCCTGTAAAGGAGTAAACACCATTAAATCATCATCGTTCTCTGCCCACAGCGGATTTTTCTTAGGAGAACTGGGGCAGGACTGCTGCTTCTTTACGTGTCAATACACTTGAGGTTTCTTCTTGTTTCTTCAGTCTTGGGTATCCTAGTTTTGTTAATAAACCTATGGGGAGATAAACCAATGGGGAGGAACAACCATTAGAAGCTTTACCTATTTGTCAAACTTAAAGCAAAAACCTGTGAAGAAAAATTAAGAATCTACAGAAATTTCAGTACCACCTCCCATTTCTAAAGCAAATTACATGCTACTTTCAAGAAAGTTAACAGCACATAATAAGCAAAGAAATAAAAATAAAAAAATAAAAAAAAAAGAAGAGCAGAAGACCAAACTGAACAGTTCAATCAGCTCACCTGGACACCCCCCCTGTTTCTCAGCTTAGGGGTACCTATAGCAAAATTTAAATTCTTTAGGGTCATGGTTATAAAATAAAGTGAAAGGGAATCCTTCATGTCACAACAAAATAACTTTTAAGAATTGTTAGATCCCATTTACTTTAAAACTAACCTCCTCCATCAGCTCCTCCAGACTGTCTCCATTCTCCCAGATGCTACGCTGCACCCAGTTGATTACCTTTGTGTACAATTTGCCATTGCTGGGCAGGCAAACATTATCTTCAAGCATCACCTCCAACTAGAACAGGAAGGAGCGGTAAAATGTGTTATTTGTGTTGAAATGCTTAATTCTTAAGACAAACTCTCCACTACATGATAAAATTTGATTCTATACATTTGCTGTAATTTTCAAGGACACTGATAATCCAAGACAAAGCAAACGGATAGGCAGAAAATACTATACTCAGAATAACAACAATTTCAGTATAGTATCATTTTTATAAACATGGCTCACTTACTTAAAGACAAAGTTTCTGTGCCTTGAACTAGGTAATAAATCTATTTATATGTGTAGCTCTTACCTTTAGACGTGGAAGTTTAAGAAATTCCTCTTCTTCTGAAATTTGTAACAAATGCTCCTGAATGTATGCATCAACCTTATTCAAAAGACGTGAGTCTCCCATACAACTTGCAAAATTTCGGTAAGAGATACAGCTGGTAACATCCATTCTAGATAGTAAATAATCACCACAAACCTTGCAAAGGAAGTAAAGAGCTAATTTATTCAACAAGAATTTAACTTTCAATATGTAAGCACATACACAAAGATTTAGAATTGGACCAAAAATCACTGTCAGGGAACTAGGCATAGCTCAAGTGATGATATAGCACCAATAATGATCCATGCGCCTTTTAAGAAGATTGGCTGGGGCTGGGAAGGTGGCTGGCTCAGCGGTAGAGTGCTAGCCTTGCATACATGAGGCCCTTGGAAGATTCCTCAGCACCACATAAGCAGAAAAAGCTGGAAGTGGTGCTGTGGCTCAAATGTTAGAGCACCTAGCCTTGAGCTGAAGAGCTGAGGAACAGCGCCCAAACCCAGAGTCCAGGCCCCACAACCGACAAAAAAAGAAAAAGATTGGTTTACTAGCTCTTCTTTCAATGCCTTATTCATACATGCCTTCCATCATTGGCAATACTAGTGCCTACATTTTTATTTATGCAGACCATACTGTCTGTCACAACTACTCACTATAATAAGAAAACAACAGACATAGAAATGAACGTGTCTATTCACCTTTTGCCAATAAAACATTAAAAACAGAAATAAAAACAAAAAATAGCAGCTGGCTATGGCCTACAGTTTACAGCCTTCTTACATTTGAGGAGTGTCTTTTGACTTTGATTTACTAAACAAGTCTCACTGGCATTAAGTTCTAGACATAGCTGTTGTTTTTTCTACCTGTCCTGGGCCTTGAACTCTGGGCCTAAGCAATGTCCCTAAGCTCAAGGCTAGCACTCTACTACTTGAGCCACAGCAACACTTCCAGCTTTTTCTGTGATTCCTGCCCAAGCTGGCTTTGAACCGGGATCCTCTGATCTCAGCCTCATAATAACTAGGAGTACAGGCATGAGTCACCAGTGCCCAGCTTAGATGTAGTTTTAAAGAGGAACCAAAAGGAGAAGAAAACAAAAAATTGGAGGCTTAAGTTGTGATTAACTCCAGGGAAACAGAGAATAAATTTATGATACCAGACACTATAAACTAGCAAATTCAACTCCTTAACAGATTTCACTAGCACAGCTCTAGGTTGATCCCCAGAAAATGTGCTCAGCCAGAATGGTATGCTCACACCCATCCAGCTGTGCAGGACCACATTTCCATGGTTTACTGTTGGTAACCTGTAGTATAATTATTACAATATAATGTATATTACACTAAACATAAATACATTTACTGTAGTTTAGAAGCATTTTTTGTATAACGGGAATTCCTAATACTGCTTGTCACCCCACTGAAAAGTGGTACAAGGTTTAAAAAGTGCTGGGTGCCAATGGCTCATATCTGAAAATCCTACTTATTCAGGAGGGTAAAATCTAGATTACTGTAGTTCAAAGCCAGCCAAGGCAGAAAAAATATGAGAGACTTCATCTCCAATTAACCAGCAAAATACCGTACTAGAGGCATGGCTCACATGTGGTAGAAACAGCTGGGAGCAAAAATGCTGTGCATATGTGAGGCCGCGAGTCCAAGCCCTGCCGTTGGCTCAATCAATCAATAAAATGAAGATGGAAAATTCCCTATGACTGGGGGAAGGGGCAGGAACTGGGACTGACATAGCCACAGCAACACAGAAAACGGTATGAAGAATAAGCCATTAGCCTAAATTATCTTTCCAAGAGGAAGTAACACTTTTGTTACTAAAGCCAAACAGTAAAACAATATACTTAAAGGTTTTTTGTTTGTGGGGATGTGGGTGGGCATTTTCAAATTCTTGGGAATAACAAAATGAATAACAATTCAGACAATTTCTGAATTCCGATCACACAAAACTTCCACATAACAGGAACCCTTTTGTATTTCTTCTGATACTCTACCTGCTTCACGCGGTCCATCTTCAGTTTTTTTGCTGCAGAATAAACATCTTTCACTAATTCCTTATCAGCCTTTAACCTATTAAAAAAATTAAGAATTTAAAACATACAGTATTTAACTTAAAAAACATTACTAAAGACTTAATATTTCCTGATATTTCTTTATACAGTACACAGTACTTACTGAGCAGTGTATGCATAATTCAACAGGACTTCAACAGCTTCTGGATTGAGATCATCAAATTTAACATGAGAAACTCCATGAGGATCACTATCGCTATTAAAGATTTCAAATAAATAGGGACTGCAGCAAGCCAGCACTGCTCTGTGCGCTAACATCTCATGGCCACAGACCTGCAATTACCAAAAATGTACATTATAAGTACTGCGAACGATAGACTTCTTTTTCTACATCATTACTATATCCGGTGTCCTTAACATACTTGTATTTCTAAATACAGTATTCTCTTAAAAACTCATTTCAGGGCTGGGAAGGTGACTCAGTGGTAGAGCGCTTGCCTTGCATGCCTGAGGCCCTGGGTTCAATTCCTCAGCACCACATAAGCAAAAAGAAAAATACCGGAAGTGGCGCTGTGGCTCAAGTGGTAGAGCGCTAGCCTTGAGCTGAAGAGCTGAGGGACAGTGCCCAGGCCCAGAGTTCAGGCCCACGACCGGACCAAAAAAAAAAAAAAAAAAAACTCATTTCATTAAGTGTCTATGGGGAAGACACCTATGTTTGGTTTTTAGTAACTGATGTTTTTAGCAACAAAAGATTAGTTTTCTAAGTTCCCAATTAGGCTGTAATACCTGAAGTCGAACATCACAGAACTGGCCACTTTTTCTCAGGGCATTTAATTTGGCAACAGAAGACTCAATGAAGTTCTCATCTTCAAACATCAAGTATCCATTGGGAATCATTTTTCCGTTTAAGTTTGGCTAAATAGAAGAAAGAGAGCTAAGTTATTTTACTTGCAAATGACAGATAATATCTGAAATTGTATTTGACAAGCTGGGAATGTATCTCAAGGGGTAGAGCACCTGCATAGCAAGCCTAATGCCCCAAGTTCCAACTGCCAAAAAATAAGAAATACAAATAAAAGAGTAATACAGTATCTTTACTCCGTAATTCTTTCTTTTTTTTTGGGGGGGGGGGTCTGGTCAAGGGGCCTGAACTCTGGGCCTGGGCACTGTCCCTCAGCTCTTCAGCTCAAGGCTAGCGCTCTACCACTTGAGCCACAGCGCCACTTCCGGCTTTTTTTTCTTTTTGCTTATGTGGTGCTGAGGAATTGAACCCAGAACCTCATGCATGCAAGGCAAGAGCTCTACCACTAAGCCACCTTCCCAGCCCCCTGTAATTCTTTCTTATGGACAGCATGTAAACCTTTTTCTAAATTATAAAACCCTGACTGAAAGAGCCCTTGTGCTGAAAGCCTGTCTCTGTATCCCATACTTTTGATGCTAAGACTTACCTTAATAAGTTTCATTCTGAAAGAGTAAAATAAAAATGTCCTAACCCAATACTGTAACTATAGTTACATAAAACTATACCACCAGATAACTATATAACAGGTAACCTTAGAAGCCTTTCAAGAAGATTCCCTTGGATTTGGGCTGCTGTCATCCCTTTACTCACAAATGAGAAAATTGTTATCTCAGTCCTACACGTTTTTAGAATCCTTGAATGGTCTATTTTCTTTAAATATATAATCTCATTTTAAATGTGGAAAATTACCTAACTTCTTCCTACCTTGCTTAAAGCAGACAATTTTAAAGTCTGATAATTCTTGACACTGAATCTACCAAATATCACTTAAAAGAACAAGGCAGGGAGATTTAAAGAGATGAATTTTGTCTTCTGTTCTTACCTAATTGTCACATATTCTTTTTTTTTTTTTGGGGTCAGTCGTGGGGCCTGAACTCTGGGCCTAGGCATTGCCCCTCAGCTCTTCAGTTCAAGGCTAGTGTCCTATCACTTGAGCCACAGCACCACTTCCGGCTTTTTTCTGCTTACGTGGTGCTGAGGAATCGAACCCAGGAACTCATGCATGCAAGGCAAGCACTCTACCACTGAGCCAACTTCCCAGCCCAAGTGTCACATATTCTAAACCACTTATTTCCTATCATAACAGAAACTATTGTTTTAAAAAGTTGTTTATAAAAAATTTACTGTAAAAACAAATGATTTCACAAAACTTCACTATGTATGAGATGGGCATAGTGACACACATCTGTAATCCCAGTGCCTAGGAGGCTGGCTGTAGGATAGAGCTGAAGGCCAGACTGATCATATTTAAAAAAAAAAAAAAAGTCAAAATTAGTGACCTGGTGGTGCTGGTAGCTCACACCTGCAATCACCGCTACCCAGCAGGCTGAAATCTGAGGATCCCCTGGCAAAAAAGTCCAAGAGACTTTTATCTACACTAAATTATCCTAAAAAAAGCTGAAAGTAGAGCTATGGCTCAAGGGTAGAGCACTAGCCATGAGCAAAAAAAATTCATGGACAGTACCCAGGCCTGGAGCTCAAGATCCAGGAATATCGTGTGTGTATGAGTACACGCATATACACACAAGTCAAAATAAAGGAAAGGCAACAGTATAAAAATGCTTTCTATCTTAGAGGAAGGACACAAAGGCACAATGCCTCTGATCTTATAAAAGCTGGAAGTAGAGATGTAACTCAAGTAATCTTGAGGAAAAAAGAAGGAAAAAAAAGCGCAGGGACAGGCCCCAGGACTGGCATGTGTACACACACACATGTACACACACAAACACACAAAGTTACTGATGTCTCTGCCTTTTTAAAGACACCAGAAGAAAAAAATCTGTACTGAGTACAGTCTTCAGAAAAACATTTTATCTTAAATGCTACACTGAGCATTCATTCACTTACCTTCTTACTGGTGAGAAATGATTACTGGGAACTAAAATTGATCCAAAGACAAAGGAGTGTCGAAAGGAAGCACTTTGTCAAGGTATGAAGATAGGTGGCTGGAGTGAATGTTGATGTTTCTTAAGTTCTAATGGTGGTTCCAAAACTATCAGGCTTGAAAATGATGTAATCAAGTCCTTAAAAGCTATAGACACGAATTTCTTCTGTGATAATCATGCATCATAATCTACAACAATGATAGATTTAAGTTAGATATTTAGAACAACTGAAGCCTGCCACTCATTTAGACAGAGCATGCAAACAATGTTTAACAGACTTTGAGACAAATGGCAAAAATATTCACGTCACATAGAACTCTGGGTCTGGGTACTGTCCCTGAGCTCTTCAGCTCAAGGCGAGCACTTTACCACTCCCGGTCTTTTCTATTTATGTGGTGCTGAGGAATCGAACCCAGGGCCTCATGCATGGGAGGCAAGCACTCTACCACTGAGCCACCTTCACAGCCCAACTCAGGCAATCTTTAAAATAAATCCTCCCCAGGAGGATATGTTAGCCTGGTGCTGTTGGCTCACGCCTATAATCCTAGTGACTCAGGAGGCTAAGATCTGAAGATTGTGGTTCAAAGCCAGCCAAGTTCAGGAAAGTCCATGAGACTCTTTATCTCCAATTAACTACCAGAAAATGGAAGTGGAGCTGTGGGCTCCAAGTGGTAAAGCACTAGCCTTGAGCAAACAAATATAGCCAGAGTGCCCAGGCTCTGAGTTCAAGCCCCACAACCAACAACAGTAACAAAAGACCAGCATGTTGAAATAAATGAAATAAACAAAAGGGAAATCATTAAGGTCTGTTCTTTGTGTGATCATTTTCCTCATATACAGTAATACAATACCAATAGAATTATTCTGTTACAAATTAAATCTTCAAGGAAATCAGTCCTCCTACCTATCCCTTCCCACTCATTTTCACATCCTCAATCATTAGTCTCAAATTTATATGGCACTTACTTTTACTACCCCTCCTCCCCAAGTGCTGGGGATTGATCCCAGAGCCTTGCATGCTACACTCCCAGCCTGAGACTTATTGTTTTTGAACTTTTGAACTGCTAGTACATCACCACCTAATTCAGAGAACTAAGGGAACTGTGTAAAATGTGCACTTTTAAAAATGGACATCTTAAAGCTACCTAGACTTTCTGTACACATCAACCAACCTCATAATTCTAAATCCATCAATTATTTCGAAGGGAATATTTTCTTGCTTCAGGGCTACTGAAGGCAGTCTAATAACGAACCTATTCTGTAAGATTTAACATGGTATACAACCTGTGAGAGAGAGCTGGAACCCATATTCTCTAGCTAGTTTCTCCATAATAGGTTTCATTTTAAGGAAGTAAGTTAAAGCTTATTCCTTCCTCAAAACTATCACACATTACATAATGCTAACTTTCACTGCTTTACAATTCTCAGCTTTCTTACTGAGCTAGTTTTAATAAAACAAATGCTCTTCAAGTGCACACAAACCTATCTTCACAGAAATAACACACTATCCTTTCAAACTGGGTGCCAAACTACCTTGCATAACTGGCAACTCACTGCACAGCTTTATAAGCTACTCCTAGAACAAAGGTAATGGAGAGGGAAACCCCACACAAACTATTTGATATGATTAAAATACAGCCTTTAAAAATCTAAAACATCAGGGCTGGGAAGGTGGCTCAATGGTAGTGCTTGCCTTGTATGCATGAGGCCCTGGGTTCGATTCCTCAGCACCACATAAGCAGAAAAGCCAGAAGTGGCTCAAGTGGTAGAGTGCTAGCCTTGAGCCGAAGAGCTAAGGGACAGTGCCCATGCCCAGAGTTCAGGCACCACGACTGACAGAAAAAATCTAAACACTGTAATATGGGTTTGTATTTGAAAACTTGTAACCTACCCACACACAAAAGAATGGCTCCTGGTTTCCCTCATTTGTTGAAATTAGTGTATATCTAAGATAGTCCTAGCACAAGATCACAGCAGTTCAATAGTTATATACATGTGACCATATAAAATGATGCTAATCAAAACGAACTCCAAGATATAGAAACAAGAGGGTTTTTTTTGGTTATTTTGTTTTTAATGTACTGTGTGAAATTTTTCTTTTTTCTTTGGTTTATCCTCTGTTGTCACTGTTTCTTATTTTGGCACCCTGTGACTTGTATATACATTTACTGATTTGAGGAAGGGAAGAGGAGTAACAAAATGGAGAGACAAAAGACAAAGGGTGAGCTAAGGTAACAGGGATACTTATAAGACATTATGTTGGAAATGAACTTTACAACTTGAAGGAGGGAGTGGGAAGTGGGAGAAAAAAAAGTGGGGTTAGGTTAACAATGTTTGACAAGAAATGTACTCATTACCTTACTTACGTAACTGTAACCCCTCTGACATCACTTTTACAATAAAATAAAATTTAAATTAAAAAAAGAAGTCAGACACTAAAAAACAAAATGGCACCTGTTATTTAATACATTAAATGTTCTACCTTAAGTTTATTTTTTAAGAAAGTGATGGTTAAAATTGCTAGTCTCTTAGGAGAAAGCTTTTTTGAGCAATTCTTAGCATACAAATTTATAGAATATCTTCATATATTTTGTACTTGATTTTTTTCTATATCAAGATCTTAATATGAGCCTTACCTTTTTATCTATAAAAATACAACCTATACGCTTTTTAAAGTCAGCCAAACTTTGGATGACATTTAAGTTAATGTAAACTTGCTTTTGAAAGGTCATTCACTTTTGTCAAGGATCTGTTTAGGCAAATTAAGACTTCTAAACTACACTCCAAATATACATTTCTTTTTTGGTCAAGCACAGAAACTGTGGGTGGTTTTTTCTTGTTTTTTTTTTTTTTTAAATAAATGTTTTTCTTTGAAAAATACCAAAAGCCCAAGTATCCTCAGGGTCATATAAGAATACAAAAAGTACACTACTTGCTGTTTAGTTTAAACTTTCAACATGTCCACTTTTAAAATGAAAGCAAGTCAAATAGAATATTCTGATAAATGTATTTCACAGGACTACCCAAAGAAATAAAAAGAGGACTCAAACGAAGAAACTGCTTTTAAGATTTAGAACTACATAGAGCTGAGCTGAAGTGAAATGTGAAATTTAACACGTCTATTTTATAATAGTTGTTGGGGGAAAAAAAAGGCATACCATGGCCTTCCCCTAAATTCTTCTCTGGACTTTAGAAAGATAAAAGTGATCGCTCATCAGACTTTAAAATGACTTTTAAAAGCTCAAGATAAACTGCAAATATTTATGGTTAAAGTCAATTTCTGAGGGTAGGCAACCATAAGGCAGTCATTCCAACCCAACACTGGGCCCAAAGCCTCATGCGTGCTTAGGTCAAAATGCTATCTCTGAGCTATCCTTAGGCCACTATTTTAAAACCAGAAGTTTTAGCTGCCCAATGTCACCTCAGAAACCACAATTACCATCCGTCTGTATCAAAACACCAAACTCACTCACCGGTCCCAAATTGGAATGAAATATTTATAACCCAATGGAGTAGACCAGTTTTGGGGTTTTTTTAAAAAATATTTTTTATTGTAAAATTACTGTACAGAGGGGTTAAAGTAACATGAATAAGGTAATGAGTAAATTTCCTATCGTGGAGTAAACCAATTTTGACCCTTAAACATCACACCTAACAAGCTTAGGAGGCATATAAACCAATGAAGAAAACAGCAAAAGGGAGAAGGAAGACAGCACAAACATTCCAGAAACTGCAGCTATTTGGGTTTGAATAGACTATAGACTGCAGGATGCAAATGGCAAACGGCAGGAAAGGAAGTAAGAGTAATTCTAACATTTAAACAATGGCTAAGTATGGGGAACGAAAGGACTTAAAGAAGGAAGTATAGGGCATTTGAGCAGACAAGTTGGGGGGATGCCCTGGGAGAACTGGTAAAATGTGGACAGAAGACAAGGCAGTGAGAACTCTAGACATTTTTGCTTAGATGTAGCATCATTACCAAAATGAGTAATTTTGAAATTCCAGAAAATATAACAATCACTTAGTTTGAGGCATTGAGAAAAATAAGGAAATGAAGAGGGGGACTTACTGAACATCTAGGTTACATCAACAGGTTACAAATACTGATCTACACATAGGTTTAGAAATACCTACAAGGCACTAATTGACATCACTCTTATTTCTAATACTTCTATCTAAAGTCTGTAGCAAACAAGGTTGGTGCTCAGAATTTCAACCTGCAATCCATATTGCTAAAGTTAATGAAATGATTGTTAAGCATTTCAATTTAGCATCAATGATTAAGGCATTTCCCTAATAGGAAACGGGGGAATTAAATGACAATTAAATGCTTTGTCTTGGGAAGGGGGAAAAAATCAGAAAAACAAATCGGAAGCCTACACATTAACATGTATTAATTTACTAGAGATTTCACCTATTAGGAAAGTACAAAGAAAAGTCATTGCAGGTTTCCATCAATGAACTCCAGCTTACCTCCAGTTACCAAACTGTATAGGTTTGGTAAGCTGCCTGGTACTAGTTTCAACCTAACTCTACATTATGATCAGGTTTCAAATTACAGTTTGTCCTGCAATACTTTTTAAAACAGAAGTTTCCGCAGAATTCAACCTGAACTTATTATCAGTATTTTTTTCCTAAAGCAACCATTAGTGCTGGGATCAAAAGCCAGCAAGACTTCCAGGGTTATCATTTATTACTAAACAGGAGACCACAACAACCCAAGGATTCAAAAAAAAAAACAACTTTATTGTGTTATAATAATCTTCATCATTGCCAACAGACAGTAGAAACAAAACTGCGCCTTTTAGGCTCATCCGATTTCTTCTGGTTGGAAATGCCAGCTGTCTCCGACCATCTGTCTATATTACACATGGGGAGAAAAGCGCACGGATTTCCCAAGTATTTGCGGCTCAACATCGTCTACGTCCATACTTCGTGAAGTCTGATATTAGCCGATGTCTTTTTCTCATGGCTTTACAACCAAAGATCCTTTTCCAAAAGCAAGTTAGTACAAGAAAAGAGTAAAATACGCACCCATTCCTTTTTTTCGTTTTGGTGGTGGTGGGGTGTGTGTTTGTGAGAGAGAGAAAGTGTGGCCAGCAGCCCAGAGTCACCGGCGACCCCAGGCCCCCCCAGACTCCCCAGGCCTGGCTGGCGCCCAGAGCCCGCACACCCCCGCCCGCGATTGGCCAGCCCCGCAGTCATTCACCGGCGACACGTCAGGCCAGCCGCTCCCTAGCTCCTCCCGCCTTCTTCTCCCCGCGCTTGGCAAGGAAAGCGGGCAACGTGGAGCGGGAACAAAGGACCCCGCGGCCCACGGCGATCGGGGACGCGGTGCCACCTCTGCCGCAGGCCCCGGGGACCCACGCGACGCCCGGGCGACTCCCCGCCCACACGCGCTGGCCCCCGCAGGTCTCTCGGGGAAGCGCCCAGCTCCCCTGCCAGGGTCCGTTCCTCCCGGTCAACCCCGAGATTCCCGCGCCCTCCTTCCGAAGGGTCCCCCCCCCCGCCCCGCGCCTTCCCCACGCCGCCAGGACCCCCCGTCCGGCGCAGCCGACCTCTCGATCTCAGCGCCCTGCCACCCCGGCCTCGGCGCCGCGCAGCTCCCAGC